ATAATTCAGCCTGTGTTGAGTAAGAATATTTCAGCAAGAACAATACACTCAGTTGAATAGGAAAAAGACTTGGAAAGAAGACAGCTTTTTTCTTCCCCCCTCCCTTTTCTTTTTATTTTGGTCCAAAGATCACGTTTGACAGGCAATACTATAACCTTTAGTAAACAATGTGGGTAAATTAAAAGCTGCAATAAAAAACAGAATTTGTGGATTTATTATTTTTTCTAAACTACACCATAGATCAGCTGAGAAACTGTTGATCTTAAGGTGATACTTTTTGGTTTTGTCATCATTCCGGATGAGAAAGAGTAGGTTCTGCAGCAAGTTATCTTTTAGCTTTCCCAAACTGCTTCTCAAGCGTATGGAACTTATTCCATAGAGCTTGGAGAGTTTCTCAGCTAAATCCCTTTCATTACTAGTGATAGCTGTGGCTTTCTAAAGGGCAATGCATTCTCACTTCAGCTAGCGTTTGCCCAAGAGAACAAAAGGCAAGAATGATCTTTAAAGCAAATGGAAAGACAAAACCCAGGCATTTAGCCCCCTGTTATTTTAAGGTCCAAAGATCTTTCCTTTTATGGGTCACCTCCTTTAAGTGTCCTTTTGTTTTCTCAATACAAGCTCTGAAGATGTCAAATGCACTTCAGGCAAGAGAAGAAATAACCGTGAGGTCTGAAGGAAGAAGCCTTCAGTGCAGAGACATTTGAGTAGTCATCTGGGAAAGACAAGCTGAACATCAGTACAAGTTATCATAAAGGGGCTGGCTCAAACATAAGGCTGTTAAAGCCTCATGTGAAGTTGTGAGCTTCTTTTTAATTGCACAAAAAAGAGGATTTGTTCACACAGAAGTCTTCATCGATTCTCTTTTTGAAAGAATACTCACGCTTTTCAGCTATGTCATAGATCTCACCAATACAGACGAACCAGAACTGCATGTAAAATAATTACTTCTCTAGAAACTCTGTTCCTGTAAGTAATTACTCCATAAGTAATTCCTCTTTCTTAAAATTTACCTGAGCTCGTGAATTGAGCTGACTTCCTTAAGAAAATTCAGCTACTTGTGTTCCAATCATTTATGAACATACATAAATATTTATGACAAATCATGAAACCACACTGGATCCATACTACTTATCTTGCAAAACTTGTCTCAGCTTCAAACTGCACAGGGGAAGATACGGTGCAAAACCAACATGAAATTGCGCATCCTAGCACACACCTGGAACAACATTGTCCTGTTCTTCTCAGAATCGGAGGGCTGAACGTGACTGGGTGCACTTGCATGTCTTCTGCGTGGCTGTATTTTCAGGTTTGTGTCATGAACCCTTCTTTGCATAACTGCAGTGACACTGCTGCACCGGGAGCGAAACTCTTGCTGCTCATCAAAGCCAGAGTCCTCTAAAATTCGCTCCGGAAAGGAGCCACGAGTGCTGGCCAGGTTGGTCAAGTTGGTCTGGCTGCCGATTGTAAACATCGCAGTATGCCCTGCGGTGTTATTTGGGCTGTCCAGCTCCTCAAATGGGCTATCCAATGGAGAAGCTGGCACATTTCCTTCACACAGGGGTAAGTCCAAACTTGACTCGTTATTCCGCTGCTCATTTAATAGTTTCAGGCGCTGGCGCTCATGAAGGCTGAATTTCTCAATGCAATCATCAATTAGTGTGGAGGGAGCTTTCTTGTGAGCCACCGTCACCTTTCCACAGTACAAGACCTCGAATTTTTGAGAGTCATAGAAGGCATCTTCACTATCCTTACTTGGTTTGGCATCTTCTTTCAGTGCTGCTTTGGAGACTTGTCTTATGCTGCTGATGACATCGGGAACCTAAGGGACAGTTTGAAAGGTCTGTTTAGTAGCCATAAATGAGATAGCAGAGACAGTGATACGTCAAACATATGTTAATGTAAATATTTATACAAGTTATTTCTTCGGTAGAGTGCCACTAGCTTCTTGGCTGACAATATAAAATTAGTAAATTCTAAATTCTGTATAGACAATTCATGCAGTGGAAGCACAGCAAATAATTTCTCAATTTTTTACTGGAACCTGTTTCAGAACATAAGGTTTTAAATTACCAGCAGATCTACTGACAAATGTTCACATCTTTTTTTTTTTTTTCTTTTTTTTTTTTTAACTGAGACTGCCTTCTCTTTTCTGTAGCCCTTTTCCCACATCAGCGTCTCTTGCTGATGTATTTTGCATAAGGCCATCACTCTTTCTTTGTTTTTATTTTGCAGAGCCAGATATTCCATTCTTAGGACAGTTGTGGAAACAGTTCTGTGAATGAAAAAGAGACCAGCAATCCCCATCAGTTTCAACTGACAGTTTTGGAATACAGGCAGCAAGCGTATGGAAATTTTACCAAAGTACCATGTACAATTGCATTAGCTCTCATTTATTATCTACTACAAAAACCTCACCCCATCCATCCTATGACATAGCTTACTTCAAGGTCACACTTCCCTGCCCCAATTAAGAAGCACACCCAAAGCTCTCTTCTCCTCCGTCATTCTTATCTACAGATTCCTACTATACCCTGTAAGGCCAAACCGCATATCTCCAGTAGAAACTATCGATTTCAGCCCTGTGTCACCCAGTCTTTTAAGGCTACCTGGTTCTTCCTCCATTTTATCCCAATCACCTTGGGAGGATGTCTGCCTTCAGTATCAGCACGTTTAATATGCCAGTTCCTTTTTCATTTTGCCTTCACTAAAGAAAACAAGGACTTGTCTAACTCTACTGACTGCAGATCAGAGTGGTTCTAGTTGCTCTTTCGACAGTAGCTACCTCTGCATAACCAAACCTCTTTCTCACCAGGTCTCATCTTCTCTGGAAGGATAACGAATGGCATCACGTTACATGCATTGAGGAAGTTACAAGTGACAATGAGATCAAGAGAGGATATCGATCTGATTTTCTTCACAAGAGAAATGGGTTCTCAACACTCACCTAATCCAATGCAATCAATCAACAGCTTTTGTATTCCATACAGCTTCCCACCATACCTATAATATTTGATAATATGTTTCAAAGTATTTTTTCTACTAAAAAAACCCCAAAACTCTGAAGTCATACCTTAGTAAATAATCTATGCTCCCTACAGTATCTCTCTCTTTCAGTCACATGATACCAGCTGAAACTTGCTAATGAGGCAGTAATCTCCTATGACAATACTTTTGCAAGTCACAGTGGAAAATTACTTTGTGTTAATCCCGTCTCCCATTACACACTCCTCCTCCATTGGGCATTCAACTCAAATCTGCTTCCAGTTCATTTATTGTAAAATGAAGTTCAATTACCCTGAGATCTACTGACTGTTTGGCTTTCATCCCTATAGATATCATCATCTCAGGTTTTCAGTGAGGCCAAGAGTTAGTCTTGGTATGACACAGATACTAGAGTGTATTTAATCTTCACTCATCTCACTACCAGGCTGCTTTACCATCGCCCAAGGTGTGCTTCCTCACAGCCATGCCAGCTCAGCTGGACGTGGACAATTCTCACTTTATACATGCTGGTTCATATTCCAAGATGCAGCTGTTTTTCCACTGATCAGTCCTCTTATTCTTTCTATGGCCTGTGCTTAAAGAAGCTCTAGAGTTTAAAACCCTTAGCTCTCTATTTTAGCAAAATTCGCAAGCTAGCCGTCTTTTAATTAACATTTCCTTTTTTAGAATCCAGAACCTGTTACAGGACAATTCACTTACATTTCTATTCAAAGTACCGTGACAAATGATAATTCTATTCAAAACACATAAATTCTACACACAATCAACTAGAATAAACAATGTCAGCTGTTTAAGCGGCAACTTGGATTTTTAAAAAAGTGTACCATCACTTCCACTCCAACAACTGGGTTCTGCCGCTTGCTCATCTCTTCTGAGATAAAAGACTGCAGAAGATACTCCGAAGTCTTTCTAATAATACCCAATAGCCTCCCAACACATCCTATCTCTCCCCCTCCCCTGCCAGCGAATGTCCAAGCAGGCGGGGGATAAGACGCTACCAACTCTACCACAATAGGATTCCCCATCCGTCCCCTCCTCCCCGAGAGATCTCCTCCACAAGCATACACACAGAGTTTTAAGTAATTGCAATTCTATTTAAAAAAAACCCACCCTACCATCCTGCTATTTATCACTTGGTTTTATTTCCATCTTTTCCAGATTGTGCATACTCTTCAGTCGCTAGTATTCGAGTCACAATTACTATTTCACAATCCCTGCTCCCTATAGCTTTTGCTTCTACCTACCACATATGTTGCTACAGTATTTTCCTTTCAGCACAGAGGGATCCTAGCACTAGAGCAGACGTTTCAGCTCATACTGCCCAACCAATCCTTATTCCCTGCTTTGTTTAGATAACTTTTTTTTTTTTTTACAAGCTATGCTATTTTTTAGAGTGCACCCTTATCAGTATTGACTTTTTTCCTATTTTTCTTCCTATCCACAGAATTAAAGTGATAAATCAGGGTGAAAAATTGAGACCCATTTAATCTCCATAGTTATGAATATTTTTCTTATATACAGATGAAGAGGAAAACAGTGTAATACAGGGATATCACAATGGATAAGAAATATCTGTCAGACGGTCCAGAACCAGTTCCAGATGCTTGTTGGTCGTTTTATGGATTCTCTAGATAGTATGGTGTGAAAAACAGCTTCAAGTATAAGATGCAAGACAGATAATAACATTGCTGGGCAATTAGTCATACATACAGATTTTATTGGTCTTTAGTGTGCAGGAATAACTGTATACCGATGATGATGTGCCCAATGATTGATGATGTGCCAGCTTATACTGTTAGACCTGACCCTCTTCACTTCCAGAGCGATACTACCCTATCAAGAACCAAGCGCCACTGCCACCTGAGACATACCTGATCAGATTACAATATTTTCATTTAATGTTTTGACTTCGGGCAAAAACCATAACTGGGATCAAGTGGAGTCTGAACAAGAGTTTGCATCTATATTTTCCTAAAATGCAAGGTACAGGAAAAGTTACACAATTATCAAGCATAGCAACCACCCCAACGTGACTTTTTACACACTTCTTTGGCATACATCATCGCTTTTTAACATTTTGCTCCTCTGTAGATCAAGAAGCCCCAGTCACAAAAGTTTCGCCACCAAAGTTGTGTAACTTTTTTGGATTTGGATATTAGCTTATTAGCTGTTAATGTTGAAATTGCAGGGCAAAGTTAGACAAGATAGTAAGCAGAATGGTGATTTAAAAAGACTGAATTAACAGGATGAAACTGCTTAACTATTTTTAGAAATCAGTTTAGTAATATTAAGACAGACTCCTGAAACATTCAAAACTTAAAGTGTTTCCAAGTTCTAGTATTTCCCTGCAGCAGTCTCATGAAATAAAGCAGCCAAAGGGGAGAAATGGGATTCTTACTCCTGAAACCCACAGGGCCATTGCAGATCTTCCTGGACATATACTACTGTAACAGCTGGCAGAGCAAAACAGAAAGGTTAAATGAACTATTGCATAGTTTTTCAGCATTCACCTGTATATAAAGAAAATAAATCCTTTACTTAAGCAATTAATCTATTTAACATCCTCAGCATTTTTGTTGTCAAGCCTTAAAGACTGTTATGTCAAAGAGGGAGACTGGAGTAGAGGGGGATAGGCAGTGTATTTGCATGGTGAGAGGCACGCTTCCAGCCCAAACAAACCCAGTGGTGCTGGAACAATGCAAGAAGATCTAATTCTCCCATGCTTTGCCTCTCCCAAGTCCCATGGTCTAGGAGCCTACCACCTTTTTCCAAATATTGCTGGGCAGAGAAGGAGAAGATGACTATACCCCAAAAGGAGTTGCAGAGGGCTTCTCAGGCAGAAAGGTAGGAGCTGATGGTGCCGTAACAGGACAGCAGTTCTCAAACCAGGAGGAGAAACCAGAAGCGTAATGCAGGCCATGCCTATATGTATTATTAATGAAGTTTCCTTTAACTGTTGAGGAGTAGCAGACTATTACATGAAGCAGAACAAGGCAGTTACTAACAAAAAATAAAAATAAATTAAAAAAAAATAATTAAAAACAGTACCGTGATAGGACAATGCAAGCTTGTTAGAGATAGACATATTCCCAGTCTAAACAAATTGACATTATAAGCATCTTAAACTGACATTCTAAATGTTAATTGTCCAATATATTGTATTTATTGACCACAGACTGTAAAATGCCTATTAATTTCTCACTTTAAATGATGAAGAAAAGAGGAGGATGAGCTCCCAAAACAGAAGCTGCAAGGTCCTTAAGAGCTAAAACCCAGGAGCACACACATCACCAGGCAAAAAACTGAAAAGTTGTCAGAAAAACAAACAAAAATCATGACAAGCTTCATGAAGAACTAGATAGATATACTATATTATCTAGGTGAAGGGACTAAACAACATGCTTACTCAAATATGTTGGAACAGCACACAAAGCTTTCTCTACTACAACAGTGACTTCATGCTTAAACAGCTACAGGCACACTGAACCCTGTCAGGTATTAATAAATTGATACCAAACAAAATGGATGTGAGAGCTTCAGACGAGCTTTCCTCCTC